AGTGTACATTAAGTACACTAAAAACATACATGTAGTGTACTAAATGAACACTTATATTATGCTGGATATACACTGGAGGTGCACTTATGGTATACTACATATGTACATGGGGTGTACTAAAGGTATACTATTTTGTTCCATAAAAGTGTGAAACTAGTACGCTTTCAGTACATGCATTAGTTCACTATTAGTATACATTCGGTATACTGATTTTGAACGACTTTACACCAAGGGGCGTAGGGCATTCGTCGCGATATTGCCAACTGCTTGATAACAGATCGCCCGCCGCTCTTGGGAATCGAACCGGAGTCGGCCGCGCATGAAGCGACGAGTTACCACAAAGATACGTCGCAACATTAAAAAAGAAAAAAAAGAAAAGAAACGTTACATGTTTAATTACATTAAAAATGTACTCTGCAAAACCGAAATGAGCAGAACTCGGCAAACGCCTAACCACTCACCTGCTGACGCTCGCGAATGGGAAACAAAAAAAAAACTTTCAACTTTCAACTTGCTTCACCGGAGAGAAACAAATATAAAGGAAGTGACTATTTCAATGTCTATCAAAAAAAAAATTTGAATATTTTTACTGACAAGTGCTGATTGTTGGGCAAGTTGGCATGGTACGTTAGAAAACATGATCGCACTTTGAAGACAGGAACATAGGAAGAACAGACACCACAGAGCGCTAGCGCTCTGTGGTGTCTGTTCTTCCTATGTCCCTGTCTTCAAAGTGCGATCATGTTTTCTAATATTTTTACGTCCGCGATGCCACTTCCTGATGTCGTGAAATTATTCTCACAAACATTTTAACGTCCCCCATCAAAATATTTTTGTAATTATTTTACGGCTCTAACTTAGAGCTTTGGAGCTTCGAAGACCGGCCTGAAAACTGACATGGAAACAGCGCACCCTCAAAACAAGCATTCTAAGCTTTCGTGCACACAAAAGAAAGAACCACTTACACAGCGCTGTAGGTGGTTCTTTCTTTTGTGTGCATGAAAGCTTAGAGTGCTTGTTTTGAGGGTGCGCTATTTCCATGCCAGTCATGAACAACCAACTCGCCCGAACCTCCGTTTTAACGGCCTGAAAAAATATCAAAGGTGGCGGTCAAAAAAAAAAAAAAAAAAGAAAAACATATTGCTTCCAGGCAGCGTCGCGGTTCGACACACATTTTGCGAAAACCAATGTTATGCAGTGAACTGCTCTTTTTATGACCTTCTTATTGACGTGGAATGCAAACATCAAGGAGGCAATGTTTGCATTCCCAAACTTTTATTTAACATCCCGATCGTGTCGTAGTTAGTCGGGTAGTTTTACACAAACCAAACGGAAAATCTGAACTAAACAACGAACTCACGAGACCCATATAAAAACAGGGTCGGAGCCGTATACAAAGCGAGACTGCAACCTTACGAAGATGCGCTCACACAATATGAAGGCACAAAAAGCGTGCCAAATTTCTCAGTGTTACGTAGTGCACGCACTTACACTTGTTACGTGCAGGTAAGACAGAGGGATATCCAGCTCGCCCTTCTTGTAGATTCAAAATTTTAAATGACACGCGTGCCAAGATGCGAGCTCAGAACGCTCAGAACATCGCCACTGCGGCTGTGTCACGTCCGAAAGGATCAGCTGTCCAGCCAGTTCCACACACTGCCAACTAAGACCGAAAATTCTTAGGCACGCAACACGCGAATCCTCCGAAACGCCAACACAACACCGACGACACCACCAGAAACTAAACAACACGAAATTTTAAAACGGCTCCCACCGCGACGACTGCTACGGGCCGCTGCATCGGAGAAAAACGTCGAAATAATAAAGCCACTATTTGGACGTTGTACGGAAGTGACGTCACGGACGCCGAAATAATTTTTGAAATATTTTGAAGGTGGACGTCGAGATAGTCACTGCCAGACATAAACGAACCTCTTTGGCGTTGGGGTCGGCATGCCTGACGCCGTACACGAAATCGCCAAAATACAACGCAGCCCCAGAAGAAAAAAAACGTGTCTTAAAACACACGGCCTTCGTTGCTTAGACTCAAGTATGTATGCCCGATGGGCTAATATTGAGCTATGCCACAGGAGTGGCAATCCCCTTTATTTAATGGTGTATGTAGGAATAAACGAGAGCATGAATTGTGAGTAGTGCCCGCTAAATGGCAAAAGTTGCTGTGATGTCTCGATACGAAATTCCATGCCGTTCTTAATTATTTCGAAATTGTCGGCATTAAAAACTTCGGTCAGGTGCTGTAAGCCGCCGCCCGATTAAAAGGGTTCAGCCGCATCCATTTATCCAAGCCCAAGCAGAAGAAGGATCTAGGCATTATGGGTCGCCCTTTTCGGAGGCGCAGTGGGGGACGGCGGCTGTATGACTGTTAACCAAACTTGTACGTAGCGAGTTTCGACTCCGAGTACCTCATTACCTGTAATCAAGTAAATTTTATTTTACCTTTTTAATGCTTCAATTACTTCCTTTTTTAGCGGTAACGTTCACCGTAACTCAATTAATAGTTCTGTGTAATCATTTACAAGTAATCGTTCATATGTTGCCGAAGGAGCAAACGTTATTGAGCTGCGTTTTTTTACGTAAAAATTGCTCTTTCTGCCTGTGCGTCACTCATCTTTGGTGTGCGAAAGTTGGATACTTTTTTTGTAACCCTAAAGAACTATTTAAAAAAAATACCAGAAGGATTAGCATGTCAACGCGCTCAGCGACGTTTTGACTGTCAAGCTATCGAGAGTGCCTCGTTTCCTGTGTACGGGCTGTTACAATCAGGGTTTGCCGCGCGCCCTAGAAAACTGCGTTCTTCACTAATATTATCTAGCCACGACAAAGACACCCCTTTCCATCCTGAAAGCGTTCACCAGCGCAACCACGAACCGGTACGCCAATAGTTTGTGCGCTACAACACCGCTCTTCCCTCAAACGCATCCGTCGAGAGGGTCTTCAGCGTCGCGGCAGATATCTTCAGCAGCAAACCTGGGAAGATGACTGACAACAACTCCCAACGAAAACTGCTGCTGAAGGTTAACGAGGTGTGAACGACAATAATAATCAGAGTGTAACCATTTTCAACATGTACTCATTTTTGATTTCGTAATAAAAAGTTAAAAAGAGTAACGTGAAAAGTAATCATTTAATTTCTGGTAATTTTTATTTACTTTCGCGATGCACTAATTGATTACTGGAATCAATTACATTTTTTAATAAAGTAATTGTAATAGTAATCGGTTACTTTTTTCAGTAACGCGTGCATCGTCACGGAAGTCGTGGAGCCGGCGGGGTTCACCGCGCTTGCGCAGTGGGGGGAGAGGGAGTTTTCACCACCGGAGCGCACTGTGCGATAGGAAGAAGTGGCGCGCTGCTTGTAGGAATGCGCTCCGTGTAGGAATGCCTTTCACTATTCTACACGTAAGCAATCTCAAATATATATGCCAATTCTTTTTTTTTTTTCCGTGATAAAGGTATGAATGGCAGGAATCTCCCGCCTCTAGCGCGACCGTCCTATACCTTCGACAATGCTTGGGCGTTTTGTGCACCAGGGGCGCGCAGCCGAAGCACTGCGGAAGGCATGTTCCGTAGACAGGCCGTCCTCACTCTGTGAGTGACGATGGGTGGTGTTCAACCAGTGTTGCGCCCGTCACCGAAAATAAATACCCGAGTAGAGCTTTCGTTCGTCAAAGATTAACGGGGTACCGAGGTTCGTTGTCTTTCTGTCGATGCAACGAAATGCCCTTATCGCTACTTACAAAAAGTGAGGAGCGTTACTCTGGCGCTACTTCGGATCGCAGTATTATCTGGCAGCGATAACCCGCGGATACCAACCTGGACTAGTATGAAACTTTTCGCGGGCAGTTTCATAGTGCTTATTTCTATGTTGTTTTCGAATTCAAATCCGCGGAATATATAATTCCCTCAATTTTGATGGGATAGTTTTGCTTTCTCAGCGAAGAATTTCGAAATTATGCCGCGAAGCAAATACTGCTTCTCCATTTCGGAACAGTTTACAAAATTAAATTTTTTTCTCGTTCTTATGTTAACAAAACGTTATTAGTCAAAATTATCGAGTAACGAGTAACGTAATTTAATAGACGACACCGGAAAATAACGACGAAAATACTCTACTCCTTAGTCGTTCGGAAACCTAACGAAATTTGTCGAGAAAAGTAAGGCGTTACCAGTAACGTCGTAATTTCCAAATGCTAGTTCACACTTCTGACTGCTTGCGAACGAACGCATTGCGAAATTTCGCTATGCTTTACGACGAGAGAAGACAGGTATATAGGGACCTTAAATACACTGGCGCACTGGCACCGTCTATAAGATGACCCCGGAACTGCATTTCACTGGAGCGAAGGTTTTGTAGTGTTGTGCGAGATCAAATGTATACGTACTATCTACACGAAATGGTTGTTTATAATACTGCACAAAGTTTTTTTTTTTTTTTTTTTGAGCCGATAATAAAAGATTGATGCGCGAAGACGTGAAAAATATGCGGAGATCAGGGGTGTTTCACGGATACACATAGATGGTGTGTTCTCTGGTCGTAAGAGATCACAAGAGGTCGTGACGCGCTCTGGAAAATATCCGCAAATCAGGGTTGTTTCACGGATACACAAAGATGGTGTGTTCTCTGGTAGTAAGAGGTCACAAGAGGTCGTGACGCGCTCGATTGTAGTCGAAAGTGCGTGAAAAACGAGCCTCGTTGCTTTCAACACCACCGCTTTCAATCAAAAGAGCATTAGAAGACGTGGCCTGAACCTTTTCCCCCAAGCGTCGTACCTAGAGGAGAGACGCAACGCCACCTGTGTCTCGCGTCAAGGAGCGCGACGATACCCGTCGGCGACGCCAAGACGCGTGGGCGGTTATCGCCTTGCATCAGCGGGTCGACCGCTTGGGGCGGGTCAGAGACCAACTGACGATGACGTTATAAGCGGGCCTCGTCTTCTAGCTAGTCTCGATGTCGAACCCACTCGAGACGGGGGCCTTACTTGTTCCAGCCAAGAAGGGGGCGCGTCGGAGGTTGGCCGACTCCTGGAGTGCCTTCACGCTTGCCGATACACACTTCTCTTCCCGGGAATCCTGCACGAACCAAAGACTCCTCATTAGCGGGGATCTCGCTGTAGAGAAACTTTTTGTTTTTCTAGAGGCGAACTTAAGCACCAGAGGGGCACTTTCAAAATTAGGATAATCTAGTAGAGCCGGATCTGCTTTTTGGAGCGCTCCAAATCTATGACCTGAATTCACCCTAACAAGCAACTGAGGCGCTAAAGACTATAACTTTTCGAGAGTTCCAGAAGGGTTTTCGAGACTCGAGAAAGCGGTGGGTCATGTGCACCGCGTGTCAGGGAGAGCCCGAGGGCGATTCAATTTCGAAAATGGTCCGAGAAATACACGAAATAAAAGAGGACACGGAACATTTGCAGCCACGAAGTTACTCGTGTGTATCTGTCTCGTAACTCGGCATCAAACCTGTCTATAGAGCGCGGGAGCGGTGCGCTCCGGGCTTTGCGTGCGGCATCTGGCGGCGGACGCTGGGCCCGAGACAGCGCGCCTCTGAGCATGCGCCGCCATTGCACAGCGCTGGGTAGATGCCAACGTTTATGCTGACCCCTCTGCAGACTCCCCTGACCGCCAAAGGAGCGCTCGGCGCCTCCAGGCCGCGAAATGAAGACGTTCTGTGTGGCGACCCACGTGCCGCCTGCTCCCGTATTATCGCTCGTTCTTCCCTGAGGAATAGTCCGATCTCACCAGCCAGTTTGACTATACGCCACCGCTGCCGCAATGCATCGAGGGAACTTTAGTCTTTCTGCACGTGCGACAACCTCGCTGGAGCTCTGCGCGTGTAGAGCACGAGAAGGCACGAGCCATCTCGTGCACTGCTGCTTGTCTCCTGTGAGCTAAAGTTATGGCGGCGTCACGCATGCGCCGAACGCTCGCTGAGATCAGTTTATTCAGCCGCTGAACTCGTGCGCTTACTTCCGCCGAGGACCCGAACCTCGACAGCGGCTCCAGAACGGTCCTATACTTCGTCTCACACTAGCATGAACTAACCGCGAAGGCTGTGGTAGCGCGAGCGGCCAGCCTTGACTGCCTTGACTAGAGCACTTGCTGCAAGAGCGCTCGTGCAGCCGCCGCGGCTTCATTCAAAGCGACTAGCTCGCGCTTTTAGCACGCGCGGCTAACAATAGTCCATACTAAGGTGAGACGAAGTATACCCGCTACTCAATCCACGTGCCATAATCTCTGTGCTTTACCACGAACACTCAAAATTATTTTATCTCGAGATTTTTTTTTTTTTTTCGTCCATCCCATTTTTGTTTTTTATTCCTTGTTCCAAAATGAAGCCAACTGCATTAAAATATTTCCACGAAAACACAAGCGTCCTGTTACACGCTATATACTGTAAACGACGTAATTTTCGCGCGGACTTAGTTTTCGCGATTTTCGCGAATCGACTACAATTCTCAAAAAAATAGGTCCCGCGAACAATTCCGGTAAAATTTAAACACATCGAAATTGATATTGAGATCCCACTACGGTCGCGAATATTAGACCCACGAATTATTCCAAAACTTCAGCTTTCATCTAAATCGCGAAATATTGAGCCCGCGAAATATAAGTCGTTTACACTATTTAAAGACTCGTTCAGACACCAAATATTTCAATTAGTGGCGTCATTACGAGCTTGGTTCTGCTTGCACAAGTGACAGGAAGCTTTAGGAACGAAATAATTCTAGTGCGCTACCCACGTTCATTACCGCGGAATCACGAGCCTCGGTTGTGTGTTGTGAAAGCAATTTATCGAAAGTGCAGACATAACAAGCACTCGAAGTGGTAGCGGTGAATTAAATTGAATATAATTGGTTTTATTTAGACACTAGGTCAAGGGTAACAGGACAAAAGACAGATTATCTCTGCCTGACGTGGTCCTATCACCCGTTTACAATGCACAGCAGGCGAAAACAAGAACAATAAACATTAAAGAAGTACAAGAAGATACAATAGCACATCAAAAGCAATCAACACAGCAGATTTTGTACAGAGCCCATACAATCGTTAGTGCACTTAACACTTTGGAAGTAAATGAAACAGGTAATACAACTCATATGCAATGAAAATACAATCTAAAAGTATTTACTCAACGTGACATGACAGAAGGTACCGCTTTATACTAATTTTAAAGCTGTGTTTTGATACACAATCTGAAATTATTTCCCTAACAGCGGGATGTTTATTTAAGAAATCAGGTATTAAGTATAATAATTGGCGATGTTCATAATTTGTCCTAGACCAAGGTATTCTATAGGAGCCATGACGAAGATTGTATCGTGTGTTATTAGGAAGAAGTGCGTCAAAAAAGCGGGTGGGGTCACTGATTGTTTCGCTGTAGATATACATTGAAAGTTTAAGAAGGAATAGCTGACTACTGGTAAGAAAACCGTATTTAAAAAATATCTGTGCTGTGTGTTCAGTACGCTGAAGGTTTTCTATACAACGTAGCGCTTTCTTTTGCAAAAAAAAACAACCTATCAATATTTGCTTTACTTGTTGAACCCCAAACTAATAAACAGTAATGGAGATGAGAGTACACTAAAGTATAGTACAACTGACGTTTTAATCAGCATGGAACCAGCGATCTAATTTTGTATCAAATACCAATAGATCTTGAGATGCTTGCATGCATTTTATTTATATGAGGTGTCCAGCATAGATTTTCTTCAAAAACAACTCCCAAAAATTTATAAACGTTGACACGCTCGATGACAGAGTCTTGGAATTTCAAAAGAATTTCACAATCGTCAGGTTTACTTCGTGGCTTAAAAATTACATATTTCGTTTTCGTAACATTTAACTGAAGTTGATTAGAGTCAAGCCAATCCGATAACTCGTTGAGCCACGTGTTAGCAGTAACTTCTAGATCACGTAAAGATGGACCAGAAAAAAATAAGCTTGTATCGTCGGCATAAAAATCTCATTAATATAAATAATGAAAAACAGAGGACCTAAAATCGACCCCTCTGGAACCCCATGCGAAATTTGTTGTGACTTGGACCGGTATCCATTAAAACACGTATATTGTGACCGACAAGTAACTACGTACCAAATCTAAAGCGACACCTCGAATTCCATAACACGGTAGTTTATAAAACAATATATCATGTATAATGGAATCGAACGCTTTTCTAAAGTCTAAAAATATTCCAGTGGTAAATAGTTTATTTTCAAAATTACTGATTAATTTTTCTTTGATATTAAGTAGCGCCATTTCTGTTGACTTTTTTTTTTTTGATAACCATATTGCTGCATCACAAAAACATATCTATCATTCAAAAACTTACTGAAGCGTTTTTTTATCAGATTTTCCAATACTTTTGAAAACAAAGGAAGTACGGATATGGGCCTATAGTTATTAATGTTGTCAAAAGAACCTCCTTTGTGCAAAACAGCAACTCTTGAAATTTTCATGCCATCCGGAAAAGTACCAGTTGCTAATGGAATATTACATATATGCTGCAGAGGAGAACACAAAAGATGGGCGACAGCTATGATTGGTATGGCCTTAATATCATCTGCCCCGGCTGCTGTATTTATATTTAAAGATTTAAGAATTAGGTATATTTCTTGTTCATCAGTTGGGGTAAAAAAAATAGAGTCTTTGACTGCGGACGAAATATACTTGTTTGGGCTATCTTTTGACCCACGTTGTTGCAGTGACGAACCCGCACTTATAAAATATGAATTAAATTTGTCCGCCAAAAAGGCATCACTGTACTGAATACCATCAAACGTTAGTTTACAAGGTATCTTACTTTTTGGATTTCCAAATAGGCTTCTGACTCTACTCCAAAGTTTCCTAGGTTCATTCGATACAGCTGCGAACTTGTTTTTATGGTATTCTTCTCTTGCTTTCTTAAGGTCCTTACTTAATTTGTTTCTTTTTTGTTTATATTCCAGTAATATTGCCTGGTCCCTTAGACGGATAAACTTGTCGTATAGTTTGTTACGTTCGTTAATCCTTTTATACAATTCTCGTGTAACCCACGGTTTCCTAGATTTTTTGTATTTTATTATCGGTCGTAGAGGAAATGCTTCATTGTAAATTTGCTTTATCTTCTGCAAAAGAAGCGTTGCACGCGAACAAGAAAGTGCCTAACTTCCAGCATGCACCATGAGCGGTTACGAGCGAATGAGGAGGCAAGCGCGCATGTTCAGTGGATGCATTCCTCTCAATAGAAGGCGCGATAACGCGGAGCCGGCGGCGCGTGGGTTGCAACACCGAGCACCACCTGGAGGCGTCGAGCGCTCCTTTGGCGGTTGAGGGTGTCTACAGAAAGGTCAGCACGAGCACCACCTGGAGGCGTCGAGCGCTCCTTTGGCGGTTGAGGGTGTCTACAGAAGGGTCAGCACAAACGTTGGGATCTTCTCAGCGCTGCACAATGGCGGCTCATGCTCGGAGGTGCGCTATCTCGGGCCAGGCGTCCGCCGGCAGATGTCGCACGCGCTCTAGACAGCTTTAATTCCGAGTGTACAGCTGCAACTGAAAAACAGTAGCACAAGTGACCGATGACCGGAGCGGCAATATCGCGACAAGCGGCGCTATTGTTCCCGAGCGCGCCGATAGCGAGAGTGACAGTCACGGTCCCGGTCTCAACGCGGGGGCGGCCGGCAGAAAGCAGCCCATCCTAAACCCCGCATTTTAAATCCTATTCCAAGGTGACTGGCACTTTAAATCCAAGGTGACTGGCACTCTCGCTATCGGCGCGCTCTATACGTGTCGCGATTTTGCCGCTCCGGTCATCGGTCACTTGTGCTATTCTTTTTCCGTTGCAGCTGTACGTGTAGATATGTATGTCCACTTCCTCACTAAATACACCTTGCGGGACATCAACGGAAAATAAATTATGATTAAGACAACGATAGCAATGAAATTAATTAAAAAAACACGTTATTTTAGTTTCCTTTGTATGTTTATTGGACACAATCATAATTTGATCACTAAACATAAGAAATTGATTGAGTGACTGACTGACTGATTCTTTGATTGGTGGATTGATTCGCCGATTTATTCGTGGTTCCGTGCTCACAGTGTGCGGGGCCACCGGACGACCCTCGGCCGTGCGACTCGTGGACGTGGATGCGACCCAGGCGACGTCTTGGCTGGCCGGGGAGGTGAGGAGCCGCCGCCGCTGGAGCCCCGCCCCCTTCCGGTCACGTGGCCCGGAAAGGCAAACCTGGGTCCCTTCGTTCTTCCGGGGCCTGCGCGAACGTTGCAGAGACACGGTCTTCGAAAATCCATCGCAATCATGCTCGGAGGGAAAAAACTGCCCGTCTCCGGTACATCCCAAATACGCCCTGAAAGGGTAATATTTGTAGGTTCTCAAGGGTCCGAGTTTGGTCGAGGTGAGAGTGACAACCTCTCCTGCAAATGCAACGGTCGCTTCCCGCAACACTTGGACGATCAAACGGCGAGCCATTTAACGATATGCTCCGCAAGCGGGCCATATACAAGGGTCGTTCAAGAACTTCGTATTGTTGTCAGGAAGGAATGGAGATTCAGCAATGAACCTCGGGGAGGAGTTGAGGGGACAGGAAGAAGTCGCTGTGACTTCCTCCTCGCATGAAGACTCCACTGCGTGGAAAGGACCTCAAGGACGACGACCAACTGATTGCTCTTGTGGAGCGATTCCTGAACAGGCAGGAAAAAACGACGATCGTTTCGAAACGGTATGTTCGCCATATTGAATGGGTTAAAACAGCGCAAAAAAGACGAAGGACCAGTAAAAGGAAACACACAGACACAGCGCTGACTTACAACTGAAATATTTACTGCTGCGCCATTCAGCAAGCAAACTTGAAAGGAGACAAACATAAAAGCAATCGGCCCGATAACACGTCATCCTCCACTCAAGCCGATACGTGGCTACACGTATTTACACGCCTTTCTGAGAAGGGGCTCTTAGTATATGAATCTGCACACTCTAAGACAGTGAAAAGAGCCATTGCACTGTCCAGTCTCCGCACCGCCTTGTTTAAGTCATGACACCATAGGTGTGGTGACAGTTTTTTGTTGCAAGTCACGAGGTTGTCATTGGTTGTAAAAGTTACTTCAGAAATGTACCTAAGATACAGTTACAGTTACTCATACGAAAATGTACCTAGGTGCGTATCTAGCTACTCGCTTAAAAATGTACCTAGGTACAGGTACAGTTACTTCAAAGGTACTTTTTATTTTCACGTCAAGTATTTTTCTCAAACTTGTCACATTATTATTGGAAGTAAATCCTTTGTATACTGGGATGTACACTAAAACAAGTTTGATAAACGTGCTTTTTTGGTGTCAATGGGAGAAATAAGGCAAAACGCTCTCACCAGAGCATTCTAAGACTTTGTCTTTTTCACTTGAGTGCTCGATTTGACCTCAGAATCAGGCCTTCTTCGAAATGTTCATCCGACATCTTCGATCGCAGTTTGGTAGCAATTGTTCTCCCTATGCTAAAAACGCGCTCCAGCGCCGCACTGCTTGGAAGCCCCGTGTTGAATTTTAAAAACACGCTTTTCAGCAGCGGCATGTGCTTGAGACAGTCCAGACTTCTTGTCGGAGCAAGTTCGGTGTACTGTACAAACTCCCGTTCCCATGAAGCAGATGAGGACGATGTTTCGAAGTTAATGAAGTGCTTACAGTCTTCTTCATCCTCACCACTTTCTTCGCCTGACGACGCTTTTTCTATAGTTGATGTTCGCATAAGTTCGTTCTTTAGATAATCCCAGGCCCGCTTCCGTTCCACGTCGTTGTCTATGCATGCAACCTTAAATTTTGGATGGCATACGGTAGATATTAGCAAATGTTTTTCTTGCTCCATGCCCGCAAACCTCTTATTGATCGCCGTTATTAAGCTCTCGACCACCGGGCGGCAGTACCTCAAGTCTCCGTCAGCAACGCGGACATTTCTTGTGAAGTGAAGCCACTGTAGGCAGGAGATATGCCATAAACATGCTGTCTTTGCGCAAGTTATAGCTTGTGCGAGAGGTGTAAACACCTGAACATGCTCATCAATAAAGTCAATGTCTGACTTCGTGAATCGCGGAATTTTGAAATTCTCACAAACTTCCTTCAACTTTCCCTCACTGTGAACAAGCATTCCGTGAAGCGATTTGAGGCAATTGTATGTGGAGTTTCACCACGTGAGGACAGGCGTGGGCAAATATACTTCACAGCTTGAAGAGATGGCGTCAGCAACCACATTAGACCTCGCTCGCTTCTTCCATAATGCCGAGCACTTGCTGAAAGGATCGGTGTTGAGTCCTCACGTGCCCTGCCCTCACGCTCCAATTGGCTTACCAAGGACACAGCTTCCACTGTTTACGACGTCCCGCTCAAACTCGCTTTTTGACGTGGCTTGCCCTTCAGCGCCAGCACTGGCATCGAAGCCATCGGCGGGCCCAGAAGACGTCGGCCGCATGGAGAAACGAAGAGTCGAGTGCACATACACCTAACCTTCGCAACGCAACGACGAGCGAAAGTCTTCAAGCTTTCACGTTTTTTCTTTCGTTTTTAGGAAGGAAGAGAATATTTTAACGCGAGCGCGTTTACGAGCTCGGGTCACAGAAAATCCGTCGGATGTCGGTGGCGTGACGGGAAATTCCTGAATGGTCGATAGGGTCGTGACGTCACAGCCACATGACTTCGCGCGGGAATTTCAAACAACCCACAACGCTCATGTGAAACGTGACGTCACGCGTGGAATGAAGGTGGTTAAAGGAATACGAATTAATGGTCGCCGCATGTTTCAAATTATCCCATTTGATAAACTAATTAATTTGCCTTAAAGAAAAATTTGAACAACTTACGCAGGATCGCACTCGCGGCCCTTCGGTTGCGAGCCAGACATGCTACCGACTAGGCAACGGAGGGCTTGGGAATGGCACTGCGATCCTGCCGTCATTAGAGAGCCTCGATGTCTGTCTGTGTCAGGGTAAAGGCATTATCGCATCGAGTGTTGTTAGCATAAACGCATAAATAAACCTTGCGGGGTAAAATGGCATCAAAGCACTGGCAAAAGCTCCTCGATCGCGCCGGGAGTGTTGTATCATAAGGACTAGGTCGTTGTGTGACTCAAGAGCATGAGAAGCGATTGAGAAGGCCATGCGAACGGGGCCCGATAACCCTGTCGCGTTCAACTCTTAAAGGCGAAGGTTAGTCGTCCTCCCATTATTTTTTCTTCACAAACATTTTCAGTTTTGTAAAGTGCAAAATTTGAGTTCGATTTATTGCGTGGAAACACTACGTGAAGTTAAATTGCTTGACGACTGTACCTAATTATAATTTATTTTCAGTTTTATGTTCTATTGTATTTTCTACGATTTTGACAAAGTGAATAGAAAAGTACCTGTAAAAAGTAACTTCACTTAGTTACAAGTTACTGGAAAATGTACCTAAGACACAGATACAGATACTGAGAAAATAAAGTACCTAGGTTTGTACCTCAGGTACAACAAAAGTACCTAGATACCGATTTACAGTTACTTGTACCTAGGTACTTTACAACCCTGGTTGTCAAATGCTGTTTTCCCTTTGGGAGTTGTCGTGGGCGTCGTGGAATCCTTGGTTAAGGTGTTTAGAGGCCCTGCTTGTACTGAGGCCAGACAAAAACCAACGGTAAGACCTGTGGTCTTACCGTATATGCACAAGGTGTCCCATGGTGTCAAGAAGGTTGCCAGTAGGTACAACGTGCCAGTTGTGTTTTCGGCTCCAGCTAAGTTGGGGCGGCCGTGTGCAGCCGTGAATCGAGGTGGCCGCGTGGGTACACAATGTCAAGTTAAGCACCGCAACCCGTTTGTCGCCTGCGCGTGTGGGGTGGTGTACCTCATTCCATTGTCCTGTGGAAAAGTGTATATTGGGCAGACGGGAAGATGTGTTAACGACCGAGCGAGGGAACATTCTCGGTCCTTACGCTCCTCCCCTTCTGACAACCTAGCGGTCCACTGTGACAGATGTGCGTGCTCTCCAATGTTTCATGAAATTAAGATTTTAGCCCGACATAAAACTAAGTATGCTCGGGAGATTGACGAAACTTTTTTTATTGCCAACCATGACGCAGGCATGTGCATTAGTGTTCCATCACTTGCCCTGGTTCGTGATGAATTGAATTTTATCAGAAAGGCGGGAAAATACGTGTAGCCACGTATCGGCTTGAGTGGAGGATGACGTGTTATCGGGTGGATTGCTTTTATGTTTGTCTCCTTTCAAGTTTACTTGCTGAATGGCACAGCAGTAAATATTTAAGTTGTAAGTCAGCGCTGTGTCTGTGTGTTTCCTTTTACTGGCCCTTCGTCTTTTTTTGCGCTGTTTTAACCCATTTAATATGACCATCAACCAACTCGCCCAACTTTCCACCTTGTTGGTATGTTTGCAGTCTCTTAGTTCCGAACCGAAAAAGCTTTAAAACATGGAAATCGGAGCAGTTTAACCCCAAGCCAAAGTGGATCCGACCCACCCGACGGCAATCCAAACCCCTGGATTACCGTGCAGTCGCACAACTTAAAGATTTGACACTACGACAACGTCGTGATAAAAATCACAGATGGTCGGCTATTTGACGCAGGCTCATGGCGCCGTATGCTCGTTCGTTGGCGGCAATTGGCTTCGCGACCGCTTGCGCCATCTCTTGTCTTCCGTGCCAAACGGCGCCCTGTTGTTTGAAGATCAATGGCTTCGCTGCGTTTCCATAGGAGCTAAGCCTTTTTTCTTTCTTTTTTTTAAACTTTTTCCTCAGCTAAGTTTGCCCTTTGCAAATTTTGTTGAAGAAACGTATCACCTGCGGGGCAATGCTGCACAAAATGGTAGCACGATAGGTTAAGAAACAGAATTTTGCGGTCGATTTAAAGAGCCTGGCTGCTGTTTTAGACACCCTGTATAACAGTGGCCACCGGCACGCCGTCCATTGCTGGCAGAAGTGCGTGACGTTGGCTGGCGAATAATAGAAAAAAACTAAACTCCTAACCGAGTTTCATTGCTCAATCTTTATTTCCTCGTGACAGTAGACCCATTCCGAAATTCAGCAATCTGAAGTCCACCAACGGCGATCGCTGTGCGTAACTCGCCGCTTCGAGGCGGCTGAAAGGTATATGACGGCGGCAAACGCGGACGTCTTCGATATTTTTGTGAAACGGGCTCCGCGGCACGGATATTTTCGCCCAGCCTGTGCCGCGTGTTATTTCTGCAGCTAAGCAGTGATAGTTGTCACTGGTAGTCGGAAAAATCAGTCGGACGCTTTGGTCGGCTTGTTAAGTTCGAGCAGCGGCAATTTTGAACGGCCGACCGTTTTGAGCGGGTCGCTCCAAACATGCGAGTCCATCTTCCGCTCGTCAATTTGGAGCGGGTCCCGCGGAGCGGAATTTCGCCTCCCTAGCGGATTTTGGAAAGCGCTCCGGATCTACCAGGGGAATTCACAACTAGATAAAGCGTTCCACAAAAATCTTTTCTTCGCTACTGTGCATTAGTTTTCGCCCCGAGTTGATACAAAGAAACCTTGTTTCTTCTCTGCAGAACAAATACAGGGAAGGAAAGGGTAACGCACTGACCTCCATTTTCTTTCCTCCCGAAAAAAGGCTGCAATAACTTGAGAGTGGTTTACCAAGGGGGTAGAAGTTACTTGCGAAAAGAATTTAAGTTAGAGTAGTTAAGTAAAGCTTCAGCGCTCGTGTCGTCCAGTCCTTCTTCGTTCCTTATCAGCCGCTTTGATTATATTATGAATACGAATTAACTAGCCCAGCTATCCGTTCTGTTAAGTACTAAATACTCAAATTCAGAGATATGTCTTACTCACAAAGTATTTAAAATACGGCAACTCGAGGACCAGTCTGCTCTAGCCTCACCTGCGGCGTCGCCGTTCCTTCCTGGCGAGCTCGGGCGACGTCGACGATGACGAAGCGGAACAGGGTGCTGGAGAGGCGGCCCGCGCGAGGACCGGACTGCCGTAAGAGGCCCTCCGGGGGGCAACCGGCGAAGCCCGATAAGCCCTGCCACCCGCGTGGTCCCGCTGGTGGTCCACGCTCGTCTCGCCGCCTAGAAGGCTGCGCAGGTCCTTCTCCAGACGCCTCTTGAGAGACTCGCCGTCCTTGGGCTCTGCGCACATCGGCGGCGTCGTGCGCGTTTGGTTCGCCAAGATGTCGCCTTGTGCGCCATAGCGGCCATGGTATAGAGCCAGCAAATATGCAGATATGCGTCTGTGCCCCGCGCTGCAGCCTACTCCCAGATAAACTCCCCCAAACGTCATCAGAAGTGGATTACCGCAGCACCTCCATATCCTGCGTCAGCATGACGTAGGATATGGCGACGCCAAGACGGACGCGTCTGCCGTATTGCCGGGTATTCTATTAGAGCCTCAACGGATCTGCCGCTTCAACCGGGTCGGGGTTATGATGACGCCATGCGCAAGCCTTGTCTTCTAGGTGCGACTGGCTGCCCTTCGATATAACACCATCAAAGCTGCTCGCGCGAGCATGTGGCTTCATTGAAATACGACACGAGAGCTGCTAAAATAGAAAGCTTCGCCCGCAAGAAAAACAAAACCCTGTACACGAGCGGCTTGTTCAACGTGAAGTACGCCACATATGCCGCCGTTTTAATGTTATCTGGCGAGTGAAGATCAAATTTATAGTGGTGCCGTTGCACGCCGTGACTTCCGTAGTGTCCGTGCACAGCGTCAGTCCGTACCGAGACCGCATGTGCTCTAGCACTCACTGGCTGTGTCCGCCTCTAAAGCGCCTTTCACACTCTTGCGACCGAATAAGACCGAAAGAGACCAGACTGGTTATTAAGCCTTTTGCGACTTCTTAGGACCGGATGCGCTGTGGAGCTGGTCCTAAGAGATCGCAAGAGGCTTAAAAACCGGTCTGGTCTCTCTCCGTCTTACTCGGTCGCAAGAGTGTGAACCGGCCTTAACGTTAACGTTGAAGTCCCCCATCACGACGCGCGGCATCGGGTACGGTGTCCTACATCAGTTGGGCTGACACACACGCGTTGGGTCAAAAAACGGAACCGCCGCCCGTGCGTTCACGGGCTGCGGTTCCGTCAACAACTACGTCACTGACACACCACGCGAACGCCATGGCCACGCCCATTTCGCCATCTTCGATCCCAACCGACGCGAGAACCTATATGGTCGTATGCTTCGCTCTCAGTTTCCTCCAACGTATGACTGTTTATAAGGCAATTAAATGCAAAGTCGCAAGCGAGCTGGACAAGACTGATGAAAATATTCCATGGAGAAGGGGAACAAGAGGGACAAAGGACAAACACAAATCTCCAAATACAACTAGATGCCTCGTGCGCGACCAAAAATATCCGCCTGGTCCGGCTATCGAACCCGGAACCTCTCCATTTTCAGTAAAGCGCTCTACCAACTGTCCTAAGCAGGGGTTAGACGGCAGTAGAGCAAACAGGTTTTATCAGCTGCCACGAGTCTAACACCAACAAAGGTGAACAGCTTGCATCTTAAGGTTAGAATTACAATTCAATTAAATGCAAAGGTGGAAGCGAGCTGGAGAAGAATTAAGGAAATAGTCCCTGGAGAAGGGGAACAACAGCCAAAAAAGATTATAGTGGTGCCATTCGAGAAGAAATGGCACAAGCCCTGGCTTGTAGGTGGTATTGGTTATGGCCACGGCTGAACCACGGTTGGAGTGCACTCGCACTCCAACGCCCTTTTACGGCGAGGTGTATGAAGACGTCGAGAACTGGAATGACTAATACGACAGTGTTGCCCGCCACAGCAGGTGCACAGACGACCTGCACCTGCAGAATCTATACTTGTCGTGGAATAAACTGCCAGACACTGGTTTGACAACCACGAACCCTTCCTGACGTCGTGGGAAGTTTCCAAAATTGAGCTGAAGCGCACGTTCGTCAGCCAACATTAACGAGAGAGATTCTTAGTCCAGATTCGGTCCAGGACACAGGGCCCAAACGAAAGCGTCGCCGCTTTCGGGGAGATGGTTTTGCGCCTGATCGAGCGCTCGGGCCGACCCTCATGCTATAGAAGACAAGAAGCTGAAAATCCCCATGCGGGGCGTGAGGGACATCTTCGGCAGCCTTGCCCGCAACCCTCCGTCAACAGTCGAAGGGTTTATCCCCGAGGCTTCCAACATTTAACAAGCACTCCATGTCCCAGCCGGTCACCATCAACAACTCCCTGGCGTCTCGACACTCGAATTGTCCAGCTGCAACTTCGACGCCAGCCTCCCAGGCATTTGTGACATCATCTACGACGTTGTCCAAAAGATGATTGGGAAGCTGCTTCGTGCCACCAGTCGCCCGGCTTTTGTTTCAATTGCCGAGATTATTCGGGAAGAAGCTCAGCAGGCATTTCAACCGGAGACTGCGAGCGAAGCGGCATCCGACAAACTGAGGGCGACCTACGCCGCAATGGCACGAGGACCGCCACCGGCTGCCCGTTATTACCCGACGCCAACTCGACGGGATGCCCCAACGCCGCAGTATTCCCGACACCAGGAAGAACCACTGTAGGTACGCGCTGAACAACGTACACCGACGAAAGCGGAGGTATGGCGAACGGTCGACAACCGACCACTTTGCTACCACTCCGATGAGGCCGACCGTCTACCGTAGGTGGCCGTACCGAAGAAGGCCTGCGGGGGTTCGTGCGGAATGACCCTCGACCACGTCTCGGGGAGGAATTACGGGACATTGAAGAGTATCTTCGGCGGCCTTGGTCCCCGGTGCTGACACTACCTCGAAGCGTCTGATTCCCGTCACCTCGACGGGAGGTAACCACGACACACTGTTCTAGGCACAACACAGCAGGTGAGCGACAATGTAATGAAAGTTGGTTTGGTGTTGGTCGTCGTCTGAGAGCAATAATAACTTTCCGACACCAATTACCTGTGTCCATTCCACGAAACACACGATTCCCAACTTTGAGGGACAATGCCGCTGAGTGGCTTGTAGAAATATAATGGTCGGTCGTTCTCAAAAACTGAATACTAAGCACCACGATCCACCCAACTTCACTTTGCCACACGAGGCTTAAACAAGTGGCATTGGCCGCGGCATGCAGAGGAAATCACCATTGCGGAATGGAAGTGAAGTAGCTTGGATAGCAAACAAACATTGTTGCCAGCCATCGAGTCAACGGTACAGCAAAAGGCACAACCACATAAGCAATACATGACCAAACGCGCTGCATTAATGCAGAAAACTATCTGGAAAACTTGCTGATTACAAGCCAGCCCTGCAGCTTCAGCGCATCAGATGTCAGTGGCGGCACATGACGTGGGACTAGGAGAAGGCGGTGTCAGGGATATTCACCACTCGACCGAACTGAACACCGACGTGCCACGATCTGGAGCGTCATCAGACAACATTAAGCATAGGCACTATGACTGAACGCCTGACGCGAGACTGTCGCAGAAAGTACTTGTTATGGAGCCGTTTGGTAATAATCAATAATCATGTAATCACGTGAAAAAGAACATATTCAATATACTAAGGAAGTACGCGTCTTGCGCACCCACTCTGAGAACTGGGAGGCAAGCGCCCCCCCCTCCCGCCCCCCCCCCCCCCCCCCCCCCGCCCCTCCGGTCGGTACACCCATGCCCACCGGTGACGTCACGATTCTTCCGAGAACACGTGACGAGTTGCGTACAAAATGGCGCCAACCGGGAGGGTGCCACTTTCGAACTTCCGGTTTATCAGTCTAAGGGCCTGTACCTCGTTGTTGAAGGTTCAGAATAGCGGGACAAGCCCCTCCCACGAACTTCTCTGCTCGCCCTGATTGGTGGTTTCCTCCTCTCGCCTTCTCTTCAGTGATTGTTCAGCTAAAATGGAAAGAATGGGGTCGGGAGAAGATTGTCCTGCTGTTCTTAACTATGGTGAATCCACGCAAACTCAATAGAAACTCATTGATAATTTTTGTAAGGGTAACTTGAGTCCGCGTCGACGCGAGCGCCTCTTGCGGCGTCTCACAACGGGCCCAGCGCTTGCACGCCAGGACTTAAGTCTAGTCCAGTGCGAATAGTGGATTTTGAGTTCGAAGCGAATTCAAAGTGAATTGTAATTTTGGCCGAATATTTTCGATTCAAATATCAAATAGTTTTCCCCATCTTTCACTACCGCTGCCCCATGCTTAGACAAAAACACAGCTAAACTCGCGATGGTTGTTCTACTTGTTCATTTATAAGGTAAGTTTCATCTATCTATATTTATGAATTGTGACCTCAGAAGGTTTGACGTCTTGGAATGGCAAGTATGCAACGGATATGGCATAAAATGAATCCTATAGAGATGGCCAACTATACCCAAATAAGTGAATTTAAAAACCTGGCTATATAAAATATTGTTTCTTTAACCTCGAGTTAAAAAAGAAAGAATCGCGCATGAAGAACGCAGGTTGTAAGGGCATCTCTGCTTAACATTACTCTTGCACAACAGTCAGTTTCATTTTCAATCTTTTACTACAATGTAGATATACACATTCAAAAAGTTTCCATTTATTTGCAGATACAGCCGGCACGCGTGCACCGTCTCGCTCTGAATGTATGCTTTTCTTCCAAGCACGCAATTGCGATATGCATATTTTTCCAAATGTTTATCTCGGTGGGTTACTCCGTTGAATGCGCTTCTTACCGAGCACCGGTGTAATGATGAGAAGCAACACCCGCTGAGCTCGCTTTCGCGGGTATTGCTTCTCCACAGTGCACCAGTGCTCGGTAAGAAGCGCGCTTAACGCGGGTAGCAACGCGGAAATCAACGCTTCAAAAAATGCGCATAGCGCAGTTCTTATGGAAGCGAATATCGAATAGCGTATTATTCGAAACTACTATTCAATATTTCGAATATTCGCACAATCCTATTAAAGTCTCAAGACGGTTTGCCGTATACTCCCGTCAAGCTTTTGCGTGATTGCCGCTTGGAGCGGGTCGGAGATCCACTAACGATGACGCCTCGTCTTGGTACTGCCACGACCAATAGAAGAAAAGGCCTGAGCATTGCGTCATCGTTAGTGGATCCCCAAGCAGCAACAAACACTGAAGCTCCACGAGAGTACGCCGCATAGCGGCAGAGGCGTGCGTCTCGAAACTTGCTAGCGTCGCGCTCGTTGTGAGACACTGCAAGACGCGCTGGCGTCAACTCTGGCTAAGCGGCGCTCCGTGGATCCACTAGTGATGACGTTTGAAAGGGAAAGCAGCAGGCCTTGTCTTTTGGGTGGCCACAACACGCCGCGGGAAAGGCCGGGCAATGACGCCGTGCGAACCCTACTTGAAATCTTTGCCTACCTGTTCTCCTGGCAATGAGGGACTCCCGCTGGTAGCAGAGCGACTTGACTCCCCTCTGAAAAAGAAGCAAAAAAACAACAAAAAACGGGAAGATTTTGTATACAACATGGCCGCAAGTTTAAGGGGCTACAACGTCTACGTGTCGAGTCTAGTGAAATGAAACGCACGTATGAAATGTAACAGCTTATTTTGAAGTGACGGAATTCGTAGAATGAAACGCGATGGAATACATTTGTTTGTTACTCACATAATCAGTCGAACTAGAAAAATGTTTAAACATGAGTTAAACTTATTGGGCAGGAGATCAAACTATAGGAGGCGCTCTGACCCGTTTGTTGTCCCCACACCTCGGTGTTTACCCAACACAAGGCTTGTGCAGGTGCCCACAGGCTTTGTGGGCATGTCCATGTCATCTTAAGTGGGCACAGTGTAATGTAAAAATACTAACAATAAATGAATTGACGTTAAGTGCCGGATCTCTCCCTAAAGCAGTCGTCAGAGAATGCGAGCTTGACCCACTTGGGCTTTTGTGCTGAGCTGGGCACCGTGCATGCTGCATTGTTCATGCAAGCTGGAGTGGTAACAAAAGAGCCCCTCCTCCCCCTCACTGGAGAATACGAACTCCAGCCGAACGCTGACGCCACGTTCGGTTACGTCAGCCGAGCACTGAGCCATTGTATCTGTTGTCCCCATCCGCGTAGCTCTGAAGTTAACCGCTTGGGGCGCCACGGTCAGTCCTCCTCCCCGATACCACTGAACGATACATGATAAACCGAACGAAACAAATGTCAAGACAACACAAGTGTATTCAATCGGAAGTCACACGGGGCATAGAAACAAATGCACATCGAAACGCGAGTTACATTTGATATTCTAAGAGGAAACTCATCAATGGGCTCAGGCGATTGATTATAGGACGATGGTAACAGTAATACGAAATATAACGTAACGTTAAAGGAATACTGAATCGAAACTTTAATTATACAAAAAGCATCAAGACATAAGTCGAATAGAATCAGCTAAACGTGTAATTATAATAATAATAATTAATATTATTTGTGCATCTGCATAAGTTACAGACGCCGCAGCTACGAACAAAAAGTCGGCGAATGTTGACGGGGTCCGTTCCCCGCGCACTTCGCAGACAGCTACAGTTATTAAAAAGAAAAATTACAGGGATTCCAGCAACAAAAAACATACCTACATGAAAGATATAAAAGTATAACACGTTTACATCACATAGCATACAAAATGTAGATACAATGATTTTAGGATTTGGAGAAAAGATGTCCACGTCATCTATGCGTTATTTCTTTAGCGATGAGGGTAGATTCTGTTTTAACGACTGGAAACTAGTTTGTGCGAAAAGGAAACATTTTCCATTCCTCGGGTCAGCGAATGCGGAAAGTGGGTATATTTTTAATTAATCCCGACGTTTGTTTAAGAAACCTAATGAATTCAGGGTAGGAGAAACGAAATGACCGAGTCAAAAGGTACTAGTAAAATTAATATATAGTTATGAGTTTATATTGGTGAAAATAGAGTTTCTGTGTGAGCTAAGAAATGAACGTTTCGAATGAAACGGAAATCTTTTTTGTAGTAATAATATTTTGTTAGGATTTGTTTTTGTGGTCGTACTCCAAACAAGATGGCAATGAGATATTTGGGATTTAAATAACGAATATTATATTTGTGGTTTTATTTTTTTGGGGAGAATGGCTCGACAACATGCAAGCAGAGCGATAATTGTACTTAATTTACTAACTATCCGGTTTATCTGTAGATCCCACGGTAGATTTTCTGAAAATGTAATACCTAATATTTAATGTTCTTCTACCAAGAGTAATTCAATCGGAATAAATTGGAAACGGAACGTTTCACTTATATTTACATGTGTACTGACTGATTTGCATAAAATGTTCTTTGTTTTTGTTTCATTATGATATAGACAATATGCTTGCGACCACGAAAAGAATCAAGATAATATAAAATTCCCTTTGGTTATTAGGTAATCCGCATCCGCGTCACTGAAGAACTGACTGGTCTCGTCGGCATACAAGGTGAAAAAGACATTTTCAGAAATGTTCACAAAATCAATAATATAAATATTAAAGAGCAACGGACCCAACATTCTACGTATGGCATGCCGTGCTTTATCTGTAAAATGATGAAAATTTACCGTCGAATATTACAGATTACTTGCGTTCATTTAAGTAAGAAGACAAAAGGGAAGGTGATGGACCACGTATATCATGCCTGCTGAGTTTGTCAAGAAGTGTTTTGTGATTCAGGCAATCAAAAGCTTTGCTAAAATCTTGAAGATGCCGAGTGTTAAAGGTTTGTTTTATATATATTCTGGGATATGATTTATTTTTCTAATTAAAGCGCAGATTCGGTTGATTTTCCTTTCCAAAACCAAATGGGGATTCCAAAATTACAGTGCGCTTGCAAAAAAAAAAAAAAAAAAGAACTGTTGAAACTACAAAAAAAAAATTTCGACTGAGTTAGGAAAAAAAAACGGCGAAACAGAAATAGACAGAACACTTCTATCGATACTCCTAAAAATTACAAACCCTTTTGCAATTTTTTTTATATGAATTTTCTGCATGACAAATACCACCGTGCTTTTGCATTTGGTCAAATTCAACTTTTCAGTGCGGCATCACCTGGGACGCCAGAATGTGGTTGCCGACCACTTGTCTCACTTGCCGCGAGCCACCATGCAGCCCGCCCAGTCTCTACCTATTATACAGTAGGAAGACTCCGAATGCAGAGCGATTCTCGAGAGCCTGACCAGCCAGAATCCTTCAGAAGAGTTCATCCTCGAGGACATCTTGTACTGCCGGTCTCCGTCAGGAGAATATGCCGTTGTTTCTCTGTCTGTGCTGCGCCCTGCTATTCTTCAAACACTACACGACTCTGCAGGACATTCTGGCAACGGACGGACACCACACAATGTCCAAGATCGTTACCGGTGGCCAAACATGGGACAGTCAATCCAGAGCTACGTGTCATCTTATCAAACCTGCCAGCAATCCAACCACCCGACATCCTGTAGTGGCGGTCTCCTTGGCAAGATGCCTACGTCAGACATCCTCTTCTCAATCGTTGCCCTGGATCACGTGATTATGCCACCCGGCAAGTCTTCCTGGTACATCCCAAATGTCATAGACTTCGCAACACGCTTCATTTCAACAGGCACAGTCCTGCCCACATCCGCACGCGACGTCATTCAGCACTAATACGCAACATTCTATATATTCAAAATAAACGTTAGCGTCATTTCATGGATTCACAATTTCCTTTTTTCACGAGTAGTTTTCAGTTGTGAACAGTCAAGACAGGCACGTAGCCAGGGGGGAGGCCCATGGGGCTCGGCCCCCCACCCCGAAATCTTCCATTTTGCATGGGTCCTCCTCTCCCCCCCTCCCCCTCATACAGCATTTTGTCATGGGTGGGCCCCCACCTCGCGAAACAAAATCCTGGCTACGTGCCTGAGTCAAGAATCAGAGGCCAGATTCATAAAAAACCTCTTACCTACGACAACTTAGCTACGAAGTTCGTAAAGTTACGATCATCGTAAGATGAGGCGAGAACGGTATTCACAAACGCGATCTTAAGTGAGAGGAGGAAAGTTACGACCTCTTACGGAGAAACGATGACTTCCGGTGCTGTTGCTATGGCAACGGCGTCTTCGGAAAAACGAAGAACCAATTAGAGAGCTAGACATAGTTCGGAGCACGTGGATTTTTAATAACAAACACAGGCTAACCACTCGTTGATAGACAGCTCCGTGTATGTCCTGTCCTGTCTGTGTGTAAATGTGTAGCGTTCAAGCTGATTCTCATAAACGCGGGCGACCTTTCCACCACCGCTTGTCTGGGGTTCGTGTCCGTGCAGTGGTATATCGACGCTAACAGTATTTAAACGCTTCGTTGACTGCTACAAACTCGATCGCTACGAAGTCAACACAACTGTCATCATTGGTAAAAGCCCCGTGCCAGTCGTTTGCAAAGCGACGTGGAAGGAAACAAACCGCCGCGGCGTTTCTCGCGTGCTCGGAAATGCAGGAGTGAGCCGACGTTAAAAAAGATACGTTTGAACTACGAGAGTGTCAGCAAGAGTCACGCAAATACCTGTTCACACTCGGAGCGGACGCGTGCGTTTGATCGAAGTGCTGGATTCAGACTGCGTTTCGGTAAGCGCTTCGGGACCGATCTTCTACGATTGCAACTCGATACTGACGTGACACTCGGCAAAGAATGGTTGGACCGGCATCGCGTAGCTCCCACAAACTGATACAGCTCGACAGTTAAAAATGGCATACTAATAACAAAGTGTACATACGGCCGTGTTGCGAAGGTAATCCATACGGCGTTTATTTGAGCTCTATATCACACAAAACAAGGAGATGGAATCGAGGAGTCCCTTTTCGACGACAGCTTTCGTCACCGCTGCCTCGGAAAACAAGGTGATCGAGATGATAAGGGGAATCGGTTGACCTCTGAAATTTAGTTCCGCTATCAAACTATTCATACGGGGAGGGTCCACAAGGGTCGCGCGGGCATATTCCATTCAGCAAGCCAGCCGGTCGTGGGCAAACGGTCTTGGCCAAGGACCGTCTGAGCAATGCTGCGCCGGAACGGGTCGGAGTGCCTGCTAGGCCTATATATTCTGCCGAGCTCGCTTGGTCGGTGGGATCGTCGCCTTTGTTGCCTTTTCCGGGTGGCTGGATCCAGCGTTCATGTTCGTCGTGGTCGGCTTCAAGTACTTCTTCATTTTTTTCTTGCTGCTTGAAGTCGGGACGCGCAAGAAGAGCAGGTAGAAAAATAAATGTCCGTTGGGTCGTCGCGACCGAGCAACTGAGCGACGTTGTCGGCCATGTTAATTTGATCGTAGAAAGTGCGTAAGACAGCTTCGGAGCTGTCGTAGGATTTTGTCGTAACCTGCGCAAAAGTTACGACAATTTCGTTTCGAGAATACGGATTTTCTCTCAAATTTGTCGTACGCATTTTTTTCGTCGTAAGTTCGCTTTGAGAATCTGGCCTCTGGTTT